TTGTACACGTATTGCATCGTGAGGGAACGACTATGACTGGGTAAACAGGAATAGGGAGAATGGGTGCGTGTGATTTGTTGAAGTTCGAATCAAAAATCAAGCTTCAACGAATGCGATAGTATTGCATTCACTCAACCAGCTATATGAGTTTTCAGACGGTATATACCTTCCAAGTATGCGATTCGTGTTCTGCCAGTGGTATTTCAGCTAAATTAAAAAGCAAAATCCACGTTGAAAAAAAAAAAAGTTTACGGTGACTCGAGCCGCTTCCGCGCAGAATCATGTTTCACGTAAGCGTAATCTTGGGGTCGATGCACGACGAGGGGTCTTCAATCATAAAAATAGTTTGATTACGATTATTGGCAACGCTAAAAATTTGAAAGCCAAGCAGTGAAGACAACGGTGTTCTTATAAATATTATATACATTTCATTTTACACTGTTTGAATACGCTGCCGTCGTTATGTTCTTGAATTATTGGCTAGCTTGTGGCGGACAGGGAAGTCTTGCAGGACCATAGGACCTACACTAAACCTGCCGCGCTGCGAAAAATGTTAGTCCAGTGCATACAAGCTTGTTCAAGGCGGACGGAGCGTTTCGTATCCGGCAAAGCGCATTCGGCCGCTGCCCGCGGCGTTTTTTTTTTTTTTTTTTTTTCGAGCAGCGAAATAATTTTTGGTCAAGCAGCAGGCCCCCTCTTCGGCGGGTTAGGCCGGTATAACGGAGGCGTCTCCTAATCCATTCTCCGTGTTGTCCCCTCGGGGAAGGGCGGTAAACAGGGGGGGGAGTGAAGGAAGGAAAGGAGGGCAGGGGAGGAGGAAACGCAGAAAAAGTGGAAAGCGCGAACTGTACGGCGGCCTTTAACAGGGGTATGAGCTTTACTACCAACTCTCGTCCCGACAAAACGTCGCTGTCCTTTCTTATTCCGCTTCAAGCTTGGAAGGCGCGGTAGCATGTTGCTACATAGGGAGGGTTGTGGGTCAGCCTTCAGCGTCGGGGGGGAAGGGGGGGGGAGGGGGGAAGGCATGACCCCTACGAAAAAACATAAGGGGGGCGGACGCCCCCCTCCTGCCCCCCCCCCCCCCCCCCCCCCCCCGGTTCCGGAGCCCCTGCCGAGAGGATCATAAACGCTTGGTAAAAGAGTCCCTCATTATTATTAGCCACGGAAATGCAGTAAATAGGCCCTCTTTTAATTTGGGTTTACGTTTCACACCTGCCCCTTTGTTTCGGGTGCGACGAATGTCGGCGGTTGTTCGCCTTTGTCCATGTTCGATCTTTCCCCAAATGGGTCACAATCCCGCAGCCCTTTCTTTTGTGATGTGTATCAGGACCTCACCGAGGTAGAATAAGAGATCTTCCCCCTCCCCCTTTTGTTTGAGTTAGAACAGTACCGGTGTGCTATTGGTCAATAGAGAGTTTTAGTAGATCGTTCCCATGACTCCGATAACGATACCCGATACTCCGCCACCGCCTCCCTTGTGCATGCATAGTATCGTTATCGGGGCTATCGGAGGTATCGGAACGATCTACTATAACTCTCTATTGTCCTTCCTCTCTTGTGCGTTCGGGAAAAAGAAGTTCATCCTATCCCTTTTCCTTCCTTTTGCTCTTCGGGGAACTTGTACCCTACAAAACCACGATATTCTTTCCAATAAATTTTAGCTGTGTTTGAAACTTTGTGTTATGTTGTCCTCCCCCCCCCCCCCCCCCCCGGGGAGGGGGGGGGAGGGGGTGAGTCTTGGGGTTTTGTATATATTATCTCAGAAATATATTCAAACTTTTTTAGAAAAACATATTCAAACTTTCTTTTTTTTTTTTTTTTCGGAAAATAACATTTTTTTTTTAGGGAGCGAAAATCACAAAGCCGCACGTTTTTGCGACTGGCGTGAAACCGTCCCTCTGGATATTTATAAAAGAAAAACTGTTGTCGCTTAGGTTTAATATTGGTTTCTGCAGAGACTGTCCATAAAATAAAAGGAAGTAAACATGTATTATCGATTACGAAGCAATTCAGAGCTTTATAGATCCGGATCTTAAAAGACTTTGGAATTCACAATTTTTAACATGATTTGGACGGGTTTGTTCAATACTCGCATAAATTGTCACTGAAACTGAAAACAATAACCTTTCTAAACAAAAAACAAAAAAAAAAACACTGAAATGTGGACAGGTTACCGATTTTGCAATAATTGAAAAATCAGTTTCAAATGAAGGTCATTTCAATTTTTTTTCTACTTTTCACAGATCAAGGCTCATAATCTGTCCTATCAGGCACTTAAAAAATGCTTTGCATTATTTTTTTTTTATTTTTTTTTTAATTTACAGTGGTGCAAAATATACAAAACTGCCGTAACGGGAGTAGAGAAAGATAGGACGTTGCCGATTTCAACCAAGGGCAAAAAACGGGTCGAAAAATGTAAGAAGTCTGTGAATAGAAGAAAGCACTGTGACAGGAGTTCGTGAAAAATAAAAATTTATACAAAAGATTGCAGGTGAGTTTGAAGCACATGTCAGCAATTGAAATACAAATTTCTCAGATCAGTGAATTTCGGAACGTGCCCTTCGTAGGGAGGCTGGGCTGCTGACGACCAGGTTTAAATAGTGATAAAAAAGAACAAATGTTTAAAGTGGTACAATAGAAACGAGTTTAATGGTGCGTGCATTAAATGTCGCGTGCATTCTTTCTGCCGGACGCTGACCTGAGTCGGTCACGGCGCTCTCCAGGAGTTTTCTTTTCCCGTTTTGCCTGTAGCGATCGCTGTTCGTTTATTCTCAGTGGCACCACAAGCTCACGACCTCGATTTGCTTTTCGCAGCCATAGGAAACTTTACTTTCAAAGATATATCTTTTCTGCGTCTACTGTTCCTGCTAAAACAGCTGCGGTTGCAAAGTGTCGGTATATATATATATATATTTTTTTTTTTTATTTTTTTTTTTTTTACTTATACAAAGTTTGGAAATTTACACTCACTAAGTAAACATTTTCAGCTGTGATTTGAAACTATGTTGTGTTTATCCCGCTCTTATTTATTTATTTTTTGTTTCTCCTGTTTCTGGCCTTTTTAGTGTGAGCTTCCACCAGCTCGCTTGCGCGTCAACTCTAATTTCAAGTGAAACAAGTTTGTAAGTTAGGGTAACACTATAGTTTTGGAATCCTATGCCAATTTTATTCCCATTTGGTGGGCCACGTACGAATTTTAAAATATATCCTCTCATACAAATAATCGACTAGTAAATTAAATGGCGATTGGGACGGATTTACTACGATTGGAACAACGAATTGGCAAATCACACGGCAGTTAGGAAATTTCAGCCATTCTTGGCTTCCGATTGGTCGCGTTCAGTAGCGGCTCCCTCAGCTCCGCATGGAGTAGCTCGAGTCAGAATTCGCAGAGTCTCTACTGACCGCAAAAAAAAAAAAAAAAAAGCGCGGCGTTTTAACTGCTCCCGAATAAACTGGAAGCAGACGACTTGATGTATTTGTATACACCCATGACATCGGCCTTCATCGGCGATTGAGGTTTTGTTAGCCGACGCAAGCGTCAGCGGTCGTCTCATATTTCGATACTCTGATTTAGCTACAGAAACAAAATCAAAAAATCATCTATATCATGTTCACTATGTTTAGTACTGACAAGATAGTCGATAATCGACGAGTTTCCGTGCAACGCCGATCAAAACAAGGAACCAGAACAACGTTTAGTTCGCTTCCTTTGACGACTGCCACCAGGAAAGATCTAGCTTCTCGCGTTCCGTCCACGTCACTCCGAATATTGTTTGTGCCCATGGGATTTCTTTTTTATGTTCTTACTGGTGTTTGATCATAATTGGGGCATTGAAATAGTTTCTGCTGCCGACCCTACCATTCTTTGACCCTCTCGCAGCAAAGGAATATAATGCCGGCACTACACACGAAATAAGAATGTATAGACACTCCGTCCCATATCTCAAATTACATCACTATGTGTTTACACAGCTGAAGTGCAGAGGTACGATGAGCAGGGGCTGAGAAAATATTAGTTTGAGTGCTTTTAAAAGACAGACGAAAGAAAGAAAAAAGAAAGAACCGCCAATCGGCAGCGCGTGCAAGCAGAGGCAGTGGTGACAGGAAGCGCCAGGTGTCTCTTTCGTACGGCCGGCATCCAGAGCACGCTCAGATGTATGCTGTTGCGCTCACGAACTCGCGAGACGTTGACGCACTGTCCCGAAGGTGTACTCTTTTTTACTCGTAGGATTGCAACGCTGGGGAATGTAGGCGTGTGATTTCAGAAAGCGCTTCCTGCCATTTCCGCGCGCGAGTGCTTCTGCAACCCAAACATTGTACACAGCTACGTTCTTGCGCCCGTGCCTTTGCCAGCCCTGTTCACAACTTATGCAACATCGAAAAAGAATAGTTCAAAATTGGCGGTCCCACTTTTTCATACCGCTT